CCAATGGGAGGTGTAAAACCTATTCCACCACGATCAATAACTAATTTTTGAGAATCAAGTATCATATCAAGACTAGTTTTCCCTTGTGCAAGTTTAGATGCAGTTTTTATTAAGTATGTTAATTTTTCTTGTAACTCAGGACAGTTTTTGCAATCTTTAACGTTACACATGCAATCAGAATTGTTACCTATTTCCAAATTTTCATTCTTGATTTCTTCATCAATTTTCTTTTCAAGAATAGTGATCTTGTTTTCTAATAGATTATTCATACTTTTTAATCTTTTGTTTTCAGTTTCTAATCTTTTAGCTACAACATGCATTTCATAAAAGGCATCTTGTAAAGAACTATAGTTCAGAGTAGTTGTTGAGTCAGAACTTACACTGGTTATTGGAGAATCCGAATTGACCATTAAGCATGTCTCTGTAGTTTCTTCATAGGCCATTTCAAGGGTTTTCCACATTTGTGCGGCAGTTTGACAATGTGCTATCCTGAAAAAATTGTTTCTGTTAAGTGCAGATATGATGATATTTTTGGCAATACAATCATCTTGGATTAATTTCTTTTCACAGTCATTTAAGCTACACCAATCTTTGTTAAAAATATCAGTTTCTTGTTCAATGATATTCCAAACATTTATACTAACAGATTCAATAAAGATCTTCATCCTAATCTTCCAAAATGGATAATCTGTTCCACAAAACAGTGGAGGTCTATCAATACAAGCACCCTCAGAGAATTTATTTCCAGCCATGGATCAAAGAACTTGAATAACTTTCAAGCACCTTGCTCCGATGTCAATTATTAGAAAAAGAGGATGAGATCAAGAGGGGGGGTGAATTGATCTTTGAAAGATTTTCGCAATTAACAGATTATCTATTTCAAAAATTAAGATTTCAGATTTGTTCTTGAATCACACAGCAAGCAATCAAAAATAAATGCAGCAACAGAATTAAAGAAAAGAAAGGTTTAGAAAGATATCACCAAGGTTTATACTGGTTCACCCAATCCTAGGGCTACGTCCAGTCTCCAGCCAAATTCCAGCTGGGTTCCACTAGATTGAATGTTTTACAGATTACAACCTTAACCTTACACTCAATCTACCACAAGAACCACAATTCCAGTTCCCGCACCTAACCTTTCACCAAGAACCAAATTCCAGCTGCAGAGAAACCAAGTGCCCACAATTCCAGGCACCAACAATACGAGAAAGAATGTAAAAAAACAAACGAAGAAACTAAAACGCTCAAACCAGTTTTATGCAATTACGCAATATGTGTTTCTTCTCCAAAGAAATGCAATTTTGCCTCAAGAAAGAACTTTGATGAACTTCACAAAAACAAGCGTGATTCTTTCTTGAAAGTAGTACTTTTGATTGCTTGATTGATTGCAAAAGATGTGTATCAGATCTATTTTAAAATGATCAAGCAACTCTGTTTATATAGAAGATTTTCAAAACTGCTGGTTTAATTAATCTGTTAAAATAATTTGTTAATCTGTTAAAAGCCTTGTTTTAATCTGTTAAAACTTCTTTTACTCCATTAAAATGTTCTTGATTATTTTCCAGATTTGTTTTAACTGATACGACAACGTTTATATCAATTAAAACTCTTTGTAAAAAATCTTCTAATTTCTTTTAATCGATTATTTCGTCTTTCAATCGATTAAAATACTGCAAGATATTCTTATAAACTTTTTCAAGTGATTTTAACTGATAAAAGATCGTATTAATCGATTAAAACGCGTAGTATAAATTTTCTTAAGTTGATTTAATCGATTGAAACGTAATTTAATCGATTGAAATAATTCTGATCGGTCATAACTAAATTCTGATCGATCATATCTGATTCTGATCGGTCATAATATCATTCTGATCGATCATACAATATACCAAATGAAATTAATCGATTAAAACGAAGTTGTATCGATTAAAATACTGCCAAAACACTTCTCTGAACATTTTAAGTGATTTTAATCGGTTATTTCGAAACTGTATCAGTTAAAATACTTACTGAAGGTTTTCAAAACTTCCTTTAATGAAAACAATCGGTTATTTCGAAGTTATATTAGTTGAAAACCTGTTATAGAAGTGTGAAGAACTTTTTAGTTGATAAACCATATATACTATCAGTTAAAATAGTTGATTAAAAATCCTTTTGTCAAAATGTTTTGTTTTTAACGGTTAAAGCATTTTTTAGAGGCAAATGCAAAATCTTTTAAGTGAAGAAACCTCATGCAGCAGAAAGATAAAATGGTTATACCTAAGCAGAGCTGCAGACAAACTAATCCTCTTCTCTTTTATCTTAAGTGACTTTTGACTGCCACAGAGTTGCCTTTGACTTCATTTTTTACTTCATCAAATCAACAAGATCTTTGCCAAAGTGAATAAGATCTTCATTACTTTCAATAAGCACCAAACTCAATTTGTTGTTGAGTGTTGGGACTGTCAGTGATTCATGGAAAATTCGAGCTACTCTCATTGGAAGGTGTTGAAGTGAATATTGAGGTTTATCCAAGGTATACTATCACTCGAACTATTGTACGTTGTCACTCGGACTATTGTACACAAAGTCAGACAATTACTGACTTATGGGGTACTCGAACAGTGGCTAGTGTGGAGATGTGGATGATTTCAAAAGTACATCGAGTATGTATTCTTCATGGGTAACACGCGTTTACCTGGCTTTCGAAGAAACAACCTATAGTAACATTATCAACCTATGAAACTGAGTATGTAGCAACATCGTAGAGTATGTACCATGTAATGTGGCTCAAAAATTTGCTAAGATCAGTGGAGGAAAAAAAATTGGTGCAATTGTAGTCTTAGTTGATAACAAGTCAGCCATTGAACTAGCGAAGAATCTATTAAGTGACGAAATTTACTTATAATTTGAGTTTTTAAGAAACACTTAACAACATTTTGATCTTAATTTTTGTTAGGAATTTCCCTAATTTAGGATAAATTGCTTATATTCTTTTTTTTTTTGCAGGATTAGGTACAGAAGTTGAAAAGAAGAAGAAGAAGAAATAAACCTATCAACTACCGGAAAAGAAATTAAAAGAGTAGAAAAAGTTGTCTGGTCAATGAAACAGGGCAACATGGCAGGGGAACTCTCGCTCAAGCTAGACATACCTCACTTGAGCTAGAAAAACTGCAACTCATGGTGGTTTTCAGGTTGAATTTCGCTAAAGCGAGACATTACTCTCTTAAGTGAGACATGTTGCAACTCTCGTGCTCAATGTCACTTAAGCGAGGCATTCCTCGCTTGAGCTAGAAATGCTGCAACTTTTGGTGGTTCTCGGGTTTAACATCGCTCAAGCGAGGAGACTCTAGCTTGAGCGAGACTAGGTTAAAGTTTCTTTCTCGCCCGAGCGAGGAACGGTAGTTTGAGTGAGAAGTCATTAAAACAGAAAACATATAAATAGCATAAGAACGTTTTGAGTGGGGGCTGTGTGGGAGACATTGGAGAATAGGGTTTAAGAGACTAAAAAGGAGAGGAAGAAGGCTCAAGGTCTACGCTTGGACTTCTAACTCTAGTTTGTATCTATTCCCACCATGAGTAACTAAGTTTATCCTGTATTGAGATTGAATGTAACTTATTAACTTTTTTTTGTACTTCTCTTGAGTTACATATATATATGAAATCTTGTTATTCAGTGTTAATGATTTGATTTTATGCTTAAAGCTAAGGTGATTTGATCAACCATATTTTGATTTCTGATTTAGGTTTATGTTGGAAAACTGAACTTGGATATGTTTGAATCAAATCATCTAATAATGTTGTATGCTAGGAATAGATGTAATATTATTAGTTGATATAATCCTGAGCTTAATGCAAAAAATTTTATTTTAATGATTCAAGGGATTGATTATTACAATAGGATTTTTAGAAACCCTAAAGCAAGGGATTCCTTAAAGCGAATTTTAGGACTCAATAGCACTAGGCTGAAAAATTAAATATGTGAGTAAGAAGAAGACAGAAAAAGGAGATAAGTGAAGTTCATTCTCAATACATCTATTTGATACTGTAGTTTCACCAAGTAATTTTCTGCTTTAACTAAAACTTTCACAATTAATTTATCAAACATGTCCAAATTTTTTTATTTAATTGCAAATTAAACTTGAATCTATAAATATTATTGAATACTTCACAAGTCCCCGAGAATACGACACTTGTTTATACTACAATCACCCAGTACGCTTGTTGGTAAAAGAGAAATTCTTAACAGAATCTAATTAATCATGAGAGGAGCAAGTACATTGATGTACGTTTTCACTTCATCTGAGAACATGTGAAAGAAGGAAACGTGGAACTCGTACATATGACGAGCAAGATCAAGTTACTGATATTTTTACAAAGTCGTTGCTCGTTGTATTTTTGGAGAACTACAAGAGACTGATTGAGATGAAGAATGAAAGTAACCCGGGCTTGGAACTTAAATGTTTCACGAATTGACAAGTCGGCTAAGTTAGAAGCTTGGAAGTTTAAAGACAATAAATCGGGATTTTTCTTTTGTTGTAGAGAGGATTAATTTTACGGAAGAGTTTTGCTTAGTAAAATTAATAATAAGATAATTAGTTTAAGAGTTTATTGAAATAAGATTTAATAAAAAAAGATAATTAGGAGTTTCTTTAAATATTTTTAATATTAATGATATTCTGGATAATTATTATTATAATTTGATATTAGGAGTTTTTATTTCCTTATTATTAGAGATTTTCTACCGTATACAAATAATCATTATATTCTCGTATGAGGTATCACAAACAATAAATAAAAATGAGTTTTAAAAAATTATTTGTTAGCGAGTCAGAACTCCAAAAGTTGCGTAGTGGAATCCATGAAAGAAAGCGACTGAAACCACAACTCGAAACAAATTGGACAGTTTAATTTTACTTTAAATTAAAATAATATATGGTATAAGTGGTTGGCTTTGGACACAACACTGTACACTACATAGATAGAGGCTACATTTGGGAGGAAGCATTAGCCAGAAAGAGATGGGTGATGCATGCATTCCTACCATTGATCTCTCTTCTTTCCTGCTGAGAGAGGATGAGGAAGGCAAAAGGAAAGGTATGGAAGAAATCACTGAAGCCTGTTCAGAATATGGGTTCTTTCAAGTAGTGAATCATGGGGTTTCCCTTGATTTGATAAAAGTGGCCATGGAACTATCCAAGTCCTTTTTTGATTACTCTGATGAAGAAAAGACCAAAAGTAGTAGTCCTTCCGCTGATGTACCGCTTCCTGCTGGCTACAATAAACAGCCTCTGCACTCCCCAGACAAAAATGAGTACTTGCTGGTTTTCCCTCCAGGATCCACCTTCAATATCTTCCCTCAAAACCCTCCGCAGTTCAGGTTAATTCAATCACTTCCCATCGGTTCTTATATTCTGTGATCACCCATTATTTTACTAAACTCCTTCAAAAGTAAGTGTTACTTATTAAACTGATTCTTCTTATAAGTTCTCGTAATACCCTTGTGTGCATGGATCATTAAACAAATTAATGTCATTGAATTGGCTTAAGTCTCCGCCTCTGAACACTTTTGTGAATCTGACAAGTCGATGTTCAAATATACTTTGTCTCCATCATGCATAATTAAAAAAAGTTAGTTAAACAACTCAATAGTTTAAAAACAAGTGCAAACTTTATCTTTACACATTTGTTAGTAAAGTTTTTAACAAATTAGTCACTCATTAAGTGTTCTGGATCTGTCTCTGGGTATGTAAAATACGTGTGTAAAATGTCGTAGGGAAGTGCTTGAAGAAGTGTTTGTTCAAATGAGCAAGATTGGTATGCTGTTGGAGAGCATTATAAACGATTGTTTGGGTCTCCCTGCCAACTTCTTGAAGGAATTTAATGATGATAGGAGTTGGGATTTCATGGTGGCCTTGCGTTACTTTCCAGCTTCTAACAAGGAGAATAATGGAATCACAGAGCATGAAGATGGCAACTCCCTTACCTTGGTTATCCAGGATGGAGTTGGAGGTCTACAGGTCCGCAAAAATGGAGAGTGGATCTCTGTTGTTCCTGCAGAGGGCACTATTGTGGTCAATGTTGGTGATGTTTTGCAGGTAAATATGTTTCCAAATGCACCAAAATTGGGGTCTATATTGTTTGTATTATACCACAATTCCTAACCAGAAAAGATTCAGTCTAGCAGAATGAGCTCTACTATGTGATATGCTGATCTGAGGTTCAATCTCCGTTGAAAATTTGTCTGTTCAGTATTCAATATTGCCTTGAAACATGATACATCTGAAGGAGATTCCCTATGGAAAATAAAAACAAATCACAGAAATCCTATTACAATTCTATATTTGAATTTTTTGCTGAGAAATGAAGCAGTCATACAATGATTTTGATCAACAAAGAATGTAAAAATGAGAATGAGAAACATAAGATGGGATATGGATCTTCTGATTGGGAGTTGAGGGTGTCATCACCCATATTGTTCCTATGTAATTTATGATTTTGGTCCTCCTAAATTTATTTAATATATTTATGTGTATATTTATAAATTTATCCTCTCGATCCTTCCTCAGTTTTTACAATTTTATCTTTTTATCTTTTTCATTTTTTTCCTTTCTTTTATATTTATTTATTATTTATTAATAATATATTATTTACAAATGAATGGTCAGATCACCATCGATGATAGCGCCTATAAATGTGATCATTTAATCTTTGGATCTAACTGGTTTTGTTGGCATTTGGAAGGTCTTGAGTAACAAAAAGTTCAAGAGTGCAACTCACCGAGTTGTGAGATCAGAAGAACGAAACAGGTACTCTTATGTGTTCTTTCATAACTTAGAAGGAGACAAGTGGGTTGAACCATTGCCACAGTTCACCAAGGACATTGGGGAGCCACCAAAGTACAGAGGATTCCTATATAAGGACTATCAGGAGCTGAGAATGAGGAACAAGACCCATCCACCTTCTCGGCCTGAGGATGTTATCCACATTAGTCATTATGCAATTGATAGCTAGACTTGTTTGTAGACTCATTGATAAAAACAGAAATAATCATGCCATATTATTGTTTCATAGCACAGGGTGTTAGGACCTTGTGTTGGTTCATTGTTGTTCCCATGTTGGCATACGGTATATCAATGAGATCTTGATCAAAATTCTGATATCAGAAGTATCATCCCATCGTGATACACAACTACATTCATTTTACTCTTTAAATTGAGATTTAGTTTTTATTATGCAATATATATATATATATATGGATGAGTTGATTTCTTTAGTTGAAGATTGGTATTGAAAAATTCCTAAGGCAGGAGAGTTATTGTGAAAAGGCGTGGAATCTAGGTTATCTTGGAAACATGTTTAAGAAGTGAAGGAAGCATATGCCACGATATACGAAACCCCATGGAAATGTGGGCGCTCATTGAATTTATTTTTTCCTCCCACACCATGGCTGTAACCTTTGTGGGGAATCTCATACAAATTTTATATATAATTTCTAGGTAAGCGCGCTTCCCACATCTTTGTGAATCAAACTTATGTACGGTATGAAAAAAAAATTCAGATTTTATTAATGCTAGTTTTTGAAACTTAATACATATACATAACGTTTTTGAAATTTATAGATTTTGTTTGGTATAACCTTGAAATAATATGAAATAATATTTCTAAAATTTTAAAGCATTATAATAACATGTTGCACATGACATAGTGTTGTTGTATCTTTAAAAAGGAAAAGTAACCTTGTTAAACAAGATCAATGAATAAAGTTAAATATACAGAAGAAATTTATATCACTTTTAATTTAAAATTTTAATGTATTTTAATATATTAAGTTATGTATATTTTTTTATGTGTTTTACGAGCTTAGACTCAGTATTTGGATTTTTAAACAATATTCTCTTTAAATGAGTTCATTCATATTAGTATAGGGACCACTCTTATAACTAGTCACCACAAAATTATCGATTTTGATAAATCTTTTGACGAGATTCATTGAAAAGAGATAATATCAATGAGATATGAGTCCAACTAGCTTAAAAAGGATTAATATCATTTTCAACCAAAAATCTTAAAATATTGGATTATAAATTTTTCTTTTTTATAAGTTGTTCAATTCTCTCATTCTTACTTAATGTAAGATTTGAACTCATACTTAAATTTTTCAACACATAAATCGCTATAATACACTAATAAAAAAATGATATGTAATATATGGTTGTATTTCGTCTTTCATAATAATTAATATAATCAAAAAAATTTTAACTATGACAAATTTATTATTAATTCTAAAATTATAAGAAACATAATAAATATTTACAATGAATATAGTAAGTAAATTTAGGTCTAATTAGACAACATAATAAATATTCATTATAATAAGCAACACATAATTGTCTGCTAGTTGATAATATAAACTTAGGCCTAATTATCTTTTATATTATTTATTTATTTTATTAAATTTAGTCCATTTTTTAATAAAGTCTCTTAGTTTTAAAGATGTAAAAATGTGACCCTTTCAAGGTTCAATCGAGTCCTTCAATTTCAAAAAATAAATAATATGACTAAAAATCCTATTAAGTCAAAAATTAAAAAGCACGTATCCTCCAGTTTTTTTTTTTTGTAAAAATAAACAATAACAATTCTGATCATTGTTAATATATAATCCAATTATTAATAAAAAGTGTAAATGCATTTGTGAAAATAACACGTTAAAATTTGTTAATTTTTTTCGAAGAGGTTGATGCGTGGAACCTTTAAGCTTCGTGTGTAGAGTTGTGAATTATGTGATTCCAAAGTGAAGACCACAAGCAAAGACTTGTCGATGATCAAATCAATAAAATTTATGATGATATGAGAAAATAATAAAGTATATGTGAGGAGTTGTTAAGATTTTTAATACATTCTATTTGGTAAATAATTCGAGTCATTCGTGGAGTATCTCAAATATGAGTGTGGATAAATATACAAGTTCCCAAAGCTTAGGGTGAATAAATATTATAGAGTAGGTAGATAATTATACAAGCTAATAAATGAGGATGAATAAGCTTAAAAGGTAAAAATGACTTGACTAACATTTTAACGAGGGTTTTCAAGAATAAAAAGGACCTCTTTGTCGAGTTGTTATCATTATCTTTGTTATGAGTATGATAACCTCAATTTTATAAACAACAGTTTAACAACCTCATTTAATAATATAATAATAATTTCAAATTATTTTTATTTATATAAAATACTTTTATGTTATTATATTAATAAATTGAATTGTACATGGGATGTTTTTTCAAATGGGTTCTACATGTATCATCGTTCTTAAATGTTTAGGTCAAGTGATATTTTAACACTCTTAAATTAAAAAAATTCAATAGACAACTCAATATAATAATAGATATTTATTATTATATTTTTATTTTATTTTAAAGATATCAAAATATCATTACTCAAAAATTTATATATGATTCAATTCATAAAAAATTCAAGAAAATCATTCCTTGTGAGATATTAATGTTTATTATATTTGTTAATGAATTTTTAAAAAATAAAATTGTGAATAATTTTTCTTTATCATTCTAATTTAGAAATTTTAAATATGATATATTTGTTTCTTATATTTGATATTAATTAAGTAGTAGATTATTTTTGGTAAAATATACTTTAGTAAGGTTTCAACTTATTTTATTTCTTATCTCATGTTTGATATTTTTAAAATTTGACTTGAATCTTTTGACTTTTTTTTTATGTTTTCTTTCTTTTATTTTTAGATATTTAGCAACACTGACTTACCTTATATTAATTTCGTTTGTATATCTAATGATAGATAGGGATTATAAGTCACTTCAAACTTAATATCATTAAATATATATATATATATATATATATATATATATATATATATATATTTATCTTTTATTTTTTTATTATTTTATATTCATTTATTATTTATTAATAATTTATTTGGTCTTAATGGTCAAGATCAATTGATAATCAAGATCATCCTTTCCGTATATTATTATTGTTGAAAAAAATAGTAAAGTTCTGGAATCAAATTCAAAAATCAAAGTGAATTATATTTAAAAGTTGATGCTAATAATGACATTTTATAAAAGCTGACATTAGAATAATTAATATTTATAAATAATTATTAATTTTAATTAATGTTAACGAACATCAGCATTTCACCACAAATCGATAAGGGAAAATTAAAAAAATTTAAAAATAAATACACACTTAACAAAAAAAAGAAGAAGAAGAAGAGTTTATTTGTATTTTTTTGCTAAGAAATGAGGGAAGCGTACAATCACTTTGATTTACTTACATATACTGGCCCACCAATTGAAGCAAGGTTTACTATGTTATGGTGTCTTTCATTAGTAACACATAAATTATAACTTAGAAACATGGGTATGAACTCTTATGCGTTATTTCATAACTTAAAAGGAGGCAAATGGGTTGAACCATTTCTACAGTTCACCAAAGACAATGGTGAGGCACCAAGTACAGAGGATTCCTTTTACTTGTAACACGAGGCATAATCATATTCATGAAAAACACAATTCAAATTTGGGTGATGTTGGTTTCTCAAACTTAGTACATATTCATAATGTAATTTTTTAAACTTAAATTATGTTAGATAATTGTGATTACTTGTATAGTTTTTATTTTAAATAACTTTAAAATAATATGAAATAAACATAGTAATAACAATTTCAAATTTCTAAAACATCATAATAACATTTCCGAGATATATTACAAGAAAAATATGTTTTTACTGAGAGATAGATAAATATTTGTCAATTATTTTAAAATTATCGAAGAATTGATAAGTGTTTAGAATCATGAATTAAATATAAATATTAATATAAAAAATATAGAAAAAAAAGTAACCCACTAGCTCATTTTTCTTGATTACTACACATGTTAAATATAAAAATATATGGAAAAGAAAAAGAAAAAGAACTAAGAGAATGTTAGAATTAATTTAATCAATTCATTCTATTACATGATTGATGTAAAATATAATGATGAACTCAAATGTGATTTAATAAAATATAAGGACCTATTGGTTATTATGTGAAGTCAGAATAAAATAAAGATAAAATAAAATAAAAACTTATGGTAACCAACTTGATGACGTTGGTTAATAAAAGGGATTAGGGTTCTGTTTCTGGCCATAAGCTTTTTCATGATAAACCATCAGGAAAGCGTGAGAAGAGAAAGAAAGATAAAAAAATAGATTGAGAAAAGGAGGTTGGAGAACAAAAAGATTAAAGAACATACTCTCATGGATCAATGTTAGTCTTCTTATTATGATTCATGTATTACATTGTGAAAATTAATAATCTAAAGATCATGTAGTTTTCTAGAATGAATTAATAATGTAGGAAAACTACAAATTAACTTAGAGAGAATATATTACATCTTCATTAAAATTTTGTAACACTAAAATAATTTTAACTTTTTAATTTTATTTTAGGAAATTCAATCCACTTAATTCACTACAAGAAAATGATTAATTACCGACGGATATGTAGCCGTTCGAAAAATGAGTAATTACCGACGAAAATTACCAACGGATTTAAAGTAGTTATGGAATTTGGTCTTACCGATCGGATATATCCGTCGGTAAATGAACAATTAATTATCGATATAAATAAACAATTAATTACTGACGGATAAATACATTAGTAAATGAACAATTAATTATTAATGGATATATTCGTGGTAAATCCGTCGAATTACCTGACGGATATATCCATCGGTAAATTAATAATTTTGGTAAATGAACAATTAGTTATCGATGGATATATCCGATCGGTAAATTAACAATTGACGAATAACGGATTTAAAGTATATTTTTAAAAATCAACATTAAATTAAAAAAAATAAATATTTAAAATTATATAATAATTACTTAGTTTTAAATACATTCTAATAAATTAATTATTCACCTAATTAAAAAATTAAATATTTTTTTATTTAATAATTTAATTTAATCATAATTAGATTAATTTATAATA